ATTATTATTATTATTATTATTATGTTATTTTTTATTATCCGTGAATGTTAGCAACTGGACAAATTGAATGCAGCGGTCAAGGAAAAACGACCAGAATTGGTCAATCGTAAAGGTGTCATTTCCACCAGGACAATACTAGGCCGCACACGTCTTTGTCCACTCGGCAAAAATTGATGGATATTGATTGGGAATTGATGTTACACCCACCATATAGCCTTGATCTCGCGCCATCGGATTACCACTTATTTCGATCCCTGGACAACTCCCTTCGTGGTAAAACTTTTAATGATGATGACGCTGTAAAATCTCACTTAACTCAGTTTTCGGCCGAAAAGGATCAGACTTTCTACAAGCGTGGAATTTTCAAGTTGTCGGAGAGATGGCAAAAGGTCATCGAACAAAATGGAAAATACATTACAGATTAAACTTCATTCTAAGTGAAAAAAAATTTTTTATTTCATTGAACAAATCGGCAATTACTTAGTTGCCAACCCAATAGATTTTGATTTTCTGCATTTCCATCACGTAAATTTGTAAATGAAATAATTTCATGCAGTTGTTAATTTTTTTTATAAGTTCGATCTCCGTAAGAATACAAATTCGGCTGTTCTGATTTCAGAATTATTCCACACCGAACGATCTCACGTGCGAGCGTTGAGGGTCCTGTCGCACGTCTTCCACAAGCCGCTCCTGGAATCCCTAGTACTTCCGTTAGACCAAATACAATTACTCTTTTCAAATTTAGACGAGATGGTGACGATCCACTCGCGGTTCAACCAAACAATGAAACGCAAAAAAAAGGAGAATCCGTGCGTGGGCGACGTGAGCGAGCTGTTGTTGGACATGTTCGAAGGCGAGAATGGGGAAGCATTCGAAAGAGCTGCATCGACTTATTGCGCGAAACAGCAAGTAGCCCTGGATGCGTTGCGCGATCGACGGCGTAAAGATCCGAAATTGAATGCTTTCCTGAACGAAATCGAAGCGAACCCCCTGTGTCGGAGGTTACAACTTAAGGATCACATTCTAACGGGAATGCTGCGACTGACCAAGTACCCGTTACTTTTCGAGAACCTGGCAAAGTATACACCGGAGAGTAACGAGAAGGAAAGGGCCGCGGTTTTGAGGAGTCTCGATCGGAGCAAGGAAATCCTTAGTCGCGTGAACCAAGCAGTTCGCGAGGCCGAAGATTATCAGAGGCTGGCAGAGATCCAGCGAACCATTGACAGATCAGCCTTCGATAAATTCGATCATCCGACCGTTCAGGAGTTCAAAAATCTAGACATCACGAAACGAAAGTTGATCTACGAAGGTCCGTTGCAATGGCGACGAACCGAGCAGAATCGAGCGAAACCCGTCGATTTGCATGTAGTACTGCTAGATGATACGATATTCCTGTTGCATCGGCAAGACGAAAAGTACCTGCTAAAGTTCATCAATACGAATCAAGCAAATTCGGTGTTGAGTCCTATCGTGAAGGTCTCCACCGTTCTCGTCAGGCACAACGCCGTGGACAAGAACTCGCTCTACCTTGTCAACACGTCGCAAAACGGGGCGCAGATCTACGATCTGGTCGCAGCCTCGCCTGCCGAACGGAAGTTATGGTGCAAACACATATCCGAGGCGGCTGAGGCGTACAAGGCTCGTGATAAGCAAGGTAGAAGACCTACTCCACCCACTCCACTGCCAGAAGAACCAGGACCTACAATCGAGGACTCAACCTCGACCGAACATGACAATATTCCTGACAAAACGGATCAGGAGCAGGAACAAGAAGCCGAGTCCAGAGATTCCGTGCAGAATATTAGTGTGGAACACGAAGAAGAAAAACCTAGTGCATCTGCAGCGACTGCTGAACCTTCAACGACTGAACAAACGAAGCAACAACAACCCCAGCAGCAACTTCCGTCTGAATCTTCTACCACGGGTTTGTTCAAATGTTTATTTTCTAACTACTGTTTAATGTAAGATTTCATCAATAAACCGAAATTATGAATCACATTTTCTTTCTATAAAGCTTTGTTTTCGAGAAAATTGAGTCTGCATTTCGCTTCGACACGCAAACCACTGAGTGGTTGTTTCAGATAATATGCTTATTTGTAATTTACCATATCTCCTGACTGCAAACATAAACAACACATAAGCACTTAAATCATAAAACCTTTTAATCGAGTTTTCTTCAAGAACAGAACACTCTGTTAAACGTGTAATTCACCATTTTTTATTTCGAAATGTTATCTGATACGTATTTATAATATCGTTACCGCTGTTCCCTTTGTTTGAAAAAAAAGGTATTTACTTTTAAGTAATATCGTCTAGTATTTATTGCGTTCAAGATATACAATGTGTGTCAGCTATATCCGAAAGTGAAAATATTCCAAAGATATTGATAATACAGAGAAATGTTTCAGACAAAAGTTGCATGGTATTAATATTGACATACGATATTGATGCTATATGCCATAATATGGGATCAGAAAAGTATTTTTTCTGGATTCATATCAGTAACTGTGATAATTGGAATGTTAAAGAATGACACATTGCTTGTTAGTTGGCAATTGATGAATGAAACGGTTCGGCGATGGATGAAACGGTTATCCAGTGGGTAATGCTAAGCTGGCAGCACATTAACTTTAAGAGATCATATCTCCGAAGCGAAGTATCCTTTCCATTAAAAAATATGATTTTGACCTTTGTACGCTTATTCAAAAACATCACAAAAACAGACGAACATCAACATCATATAACACTATTAATACAATGCAATTTTTGTTTGAAATATTTTTCTGTACTATCAAATTTTTTTTTTAATACTTTCATGTTCAGATACAATTCGCACATGCTGGATAAGCAAGTAAAAAGATTTTTAAAAGTTGGCTTTCTTATGTTATAATTATTACTATAATGCTTCTTTTCTACACAGATTTCACTAAGTAATCATTGAAATGATTAGTTGTATAACCTGTTCTATGAATGTTTATATAGATCTAATAAATACATTTATTAAACTTTAATTAAACATAAATTAAAAATTGTTTCTTATTTAGGTATGGGAGAACCATTAAGAATGGTTACTTGTACCCAAGTTTCATTAATCGACCCATTGGAAGTACACGTAGAAGTGCCACCTGTACATGTTGCAGAACCGGTACTTACATCCATAGGTATATTGTTTATATATTTATTATAAGAATTCCTGTATCATCATGCAACATCTTGAATTATAATGTTTATAATGATAAACGATCGTACCGTAGTCTGTATCCATATTTATTTACTTACAGAGTGTCTCAGGAGAAAAGATGATATAATTAAGCAAGCTTTGATAGAAAAACAATTGTTAGTAGCAGATATCTTGAATATACCAAAAGAAGACTTCGAGCATGTGGCAGACATGGCATCTGAACCTTCGAACATAGAAAAAGAACCTGCTGAACTTATACTCGCTGCTATTAGTCAAGGTATTTTATAAGTGAAGAATAAAATATTGCAATTTTCTTATGTGTAGATTTTGCATTAAAGTGTAATTCTTTTACATTCTTTTAGCAAACCAATTAGTAGGCCTTCTAAACTCTGCTTTGAACGTAAGTGAAACGGAAACCGTTCTTGCATCGCGTGGAACGTCAGTGCTATCAATACCACCAAGCTGTGAAGCGACTGGTTGTCCATCACCGAGAATGTATCATCACCCTCAACAACCTGCCGTATCAGTTGCCAGCTTACAACCAGTGTGCCATTCTCTAACATCCCAATTATCGCAGTTACTGGTATGAATTTGTAAAATATACTTCTTCGATCCCATATTAGGGTATACACATTGTACCTTTATTTTTATTACAACTATATATACATATACAGGGTGAGGCACTTAAAACAGGCCACCTGAATAAGTTGCTTGCTTTTACAAGAGCCTTTAACAGATCCTTTTGAGAAAAATACAATGACCTACAAATGGAGATCATTCAAGGTTACACAAAGTCAACATTAATGGAGAATAAATTATTTCAAATCACTTTTATATTGAAGTACAGGGTCATCATTTCGAATATTTGTTGTAGCAGTAAGTACGCCAATATATGTACATATAAATTAGTAAGATACGACAGTTGACCTTGTGTAATCTTAAATGCCCTTCATTTATAGATCATTGTATTGGTCTCGAAAAGCTCTATCAAAAAATATAAATAAAATACATTCATATCATTCCATTTTAAAAAACAAGTTTAACCTTCTTATCTGCTCTATATTAGGTGCATGTATATATTTTTATACTTGAAATGTGTAACTCCAAATTTAGCTTCTTTCATCATACCACACCTTAACCCCTCAACACTGGGGCTATACACATATAGAAAACTTTTAATAATATATTTACATGATAATAACGTTACTTTAATATTATAAAATTGATGTCATAATGTTAATGTTATTAAGTTTGTAATAATATTTTTGTATTAATGTATATTAAAAGATATAGGTCCATATTTCGTACGGTCCCTGTCGTTCATGAGTTAATTGGTTTTAACCTTTGTCTTGTAATCATCTTCTGTTTTGTGCAGTAATATTTTTTGGCACACTATCACAAATCTCTTAACATTTCGACGCTTGTTTTAAGATAAAGTTTGATTAAAAAGGAAACCAATAGCAACCTCAATAAAATATTCAAATTAGATTAATTTTTGTTACTAATATAAACCAATGAAGAAATTATATTTTCTTAATATTTGGAAAGATTTTTAGAAATGTATATATACCGTATAATATTATTATATATATATTTTATTATTTATATATGTTATTTTTATTATATATATATATATTTTATTATTATATATATATATTTTATTTCATTTATTATTTCATTTTATTTTATTTATTATTATATATTAATATTTTATTATTATATATATATAATATATAGTATACCGTTACATTACGTAATGTATACTATGGAACAAAAAAATATACTACAGTTACTCAGACTGAAAGTACATAAAAATAGTTACACTGTTTACAAAATCAAAATTTTATATAATAAATTTTTTATAAATTATATCGTATTGTACACAGTTGTTTCTACATTACAGGAAATTATAAAAGGTAGAGAAGAGGAACGAGAAAGATTGAGGAAAGAATTGCGTAGAAGCAGAGAACGTCTTCATGCTCTTGACGCAGACATACAGCGTCGTGAATTTTCAGAAACCTGCACTATATCGAATCAGACACAAACGGAGCCCGGTCAGTTTTTTTTACATTCTTTTCAAATGATTTGAAATATAGGTTAATATTTGTTGGATCTTGCATACATGAAGAAACTGGTACAGATAATAATAGTACACTCCTTTTATTTTTATTACAGGTGACGTATGGAACAAAGACAACAGTATTGACGATAACCCACGAGATGTAAGAAACTAAATTTACTTTATTATTAGCGTATTTATGATATTTACTTATATTTTTATAGTATATATTTATTTAGACGAAGCTTCTTATTGTGATAATAAACAAGAAAAATGTTTGAGGGGGCAACTATTAAACATATAAGTCTTAAGCTTTGCACATTCATTAACACACGGATAACGGATCAGCAGGTGTTCGATCGGACATTAACTTTTACTTGTATAGAATTGTGCTTCTTTCTTTTAAGTGATATTCATTTTCATTTTTACAAACTATAATAATCATGATAATTATAATAATAATAAATATAAATAAATATTATTTAATATGACTCTGTACGAAGCAATATGACTCTGTACAAAACATTTGAAATTTCGATTGTATACTTCGTAACGTTCATTGTATGTGAATGTGGTATCAGAAATGTTGCAGAATTTTCAAACATCAATTTTTTTAGTTATACGGCAGTTCTAATTTTTGAATTGCAAATTCAAAATTTTCTTCAAAGACATTATAAATACTGCCAAGGATACATTTCTCCTAGGGTAAGATTTCCATCCTAGCATCTAAGCATCGTCATTCGAGTGTTAATATGTGTTTTTAATGTGTATGCAGAATTTTGTTCTTCAGTAAAATATTGATCGAATTCAAGGTTACATCATAT